TCAACTTTTGGTGGGAAAATTATGGGAAGGTTATTATATGTCATAATGAAAATAACAGATTATCACACTATCTAAGTAACAAATCTAAGAGATCAGAAGTGTAAATGTCTTGTAGTAATTATTTCTATTATAACAAATGCTGGTTTGTTGTCTTTATAAACTAAATAAATTAAAATGACTATGGTCTTAATAATAAACTTATTATAGTGTTAATAGAGGACTAGAAAAATGATACAACAATACCCATTCATGGCAAGAATCAATTTGATTAAAATCTGATCTGATTCAGCTTTTCTTTTTACTTCTTTTACAATCGTTTTCACTAAACATTGGACGATGAGATTGTGGTAAATGTTGATACATCAGAGCAAGTACCTAATGAAATTGCCACTGATTTTATCACTACTAATCAAAACATTATAACTGTAGCCTAAACATTTTTAATACAATGTATACCTGTCTGAGTCTTCGAGGCGCCATTCTGTCTTTTATTGTTGGCGCAAGACATTTCCGAGTCGTTTTTTACTCAATTCATTTACATATAATGTTACGTTTGTGTGTGTGTCCCGGTAGTGTGTCCAGACACCCCGAGCATCTAACGCGGGAAAGTCGGGAGTACATGTAATTTGGTAACAAAATGCAGTCTCATAAACGAGGATTCGACACACAATTTAGTGTACGACAGAAAATTGTTGAACTTTACATAAATGGGCTGTCATGTAGACAAATTGCACAACAAACTGGCGTGTCAAAAAGTACTGCGAATAATATATGTACTAAACTTATTACTAGCGGTGATGTTTCAGCTGGGAAGCACGGACGAAAACACGGTAACAGAACATGCTTGACTGATAATATTTTACAGCATATTGAATTTTATAAACGTCGACAACCTAGTATTTATCTGCGTGAAATTCAGTTAAAGTTACGCCAAGATAATGTGTGCCTCGATGTCCCCAGTTCATCCACGGTTTACCGGGGACTTGTTCACCACCTAAACATGACGAGGAAAAGGTTAAAATCTGTTGCTGCAGAGTCAACGACTGACATTAACGAACAACGAATGCTTGATTTTATCGACACCATTTCTGATTTTAGACCAGAACAGCTGCACTGGTTTGACGAGGCGTCTGTCATTCGTACTACTGGAAACCGGCGTTACGGGCATGCAGAAATTGGTAAACCGGCGATAGAAATACAGCGGTTTGCGTCGAATGTTAATTACACAATAAACCTGCTTACAAGTATATTTGGTGTCGAATATTCTGATATCATTGTTGGACCTTCCAATGCTATCGAAATGATGAACTTTTTTTTTGAAGCAGTCAATGTAGAAGACCACGTTGGAAATCGTTGTTTGGCACCGGGAGATTGTGTAATCATGGATAATTGTGGTTTTCATCACGCCAGGATTGTCGAACCTAATTTGGAACATTTATTACAACAGCAAGGAGTGCGCCTAATTTTTCAACCACCATACAATCCCGAGTATAATATCTGTGAACAATGTTTTCGGTCTATAAAATCGTATTTGCGGGGAAACCAGGAATTTTCGTATAGATTTACTGAGTTTGCTATAGCAGACGCCATTGGTCACATCACGCCTGGGGCATGTCAAATTTTTGCTAGAGAAAGTGGTTACGAGTGATTTGCTTCCCGCCAAAAACTGGTCAATACGAACTGAAATGGAAGTCAACTTGTACCAGTATTAAGACAATATATATTCACTTGTTATTTCTTTTATTTTGTTTTATAATCATCTTTATTAATAAATAAAATAAGATGACAATAAAAACTACAATAATGCTGAACAACATGTAGTATTTATTTTGAAAAGTTAACATTAACATGGGAAACTGAACGGACGGCCGATAAAGCAGTTTTAACAATTTAAGTTTCGTTTACAAATATTTAAATATTTAACCTAAATCTGGAAAATCCTTGGCTTTGATTGTACTGAAGTATAGCTAGATTATATACACTTCATGGTACATGGAAAACCATACAATAAAAACACTTTAAATTTGAAGAGTCTCTTGTAATGTTCGTAATGTCATAACCACGTGGAAAATGAAATCAGTCATGGTACTAGTATTCTGGTAAAGAACACAAACAACATTTATTACAAATCCGCAGATTTAGATGTGATATTCGCCAAATCTAGTAAAGTTAGACAAGACTGGTTTGTTTCACCGACAATCACACCCTCTGGGTTCTCCTTTTCCTTGGCTGTAGGTGCCAATTCTGGAAATTCCACTTGGTTTTCCATTTCAATTTTGGGTTGAGGCGTAGTCAATGCTGCTGTTGGTATGGGTACTGGTAAACTTGGACTTGTTTCCGCGGGTCTTGCCATTACTGTACTAACTGGTATATAACGGGAACTTGCGTTGTTGGCAGGCATTCACTAAATATAGGTGCTGGCATTGTCATCACATTGCTAGTAGGTGGTCGCATAAACGCCCAAGGGTTGATAAATGGAGTAGGATTTCCATACCATGGCACCAGATTTTGCGGAATAACCATTCCTGGGTTGGGCTGTGCTGGAACATACGGAGTATAAACTTGATTTGACTGGTGTGGAATTGTAACTACGGCTGTCGGCGACGGAGATGAAATAGCATGTTTCAATGGCGAGGTTTCCTTGGATTGTTTTATTGTGCGTGTTGTTATTTCATGCTCGTCTTTCATGTCGTGGTCATCAGGTTTAAATTCAGAAACCTTTCGTTTTCCCATTTCCAATAATTTAGATAGATCAACTGCATCTTGGAGATTTCCTGGTGGCAATTTACCATCCAAGGCGACTTTAAGGAGACGAACATCTTTTAATAACTTGCTGCGTCCCTCTAACCCAACGTACTTTTGTGGGAAGAGTCGTTGCAAGCGTGGTTTCAGAACACTGGCAAACTGGGTTGTATTTTTAGCTATGAAAGACTTCACAGACTGTAATTCCCCTTCTAATGCTTTCATCTTGTCTTTCATGGTCTTTATTTCTTTGTCTTTCTATGAAATTCAGAAGAAATAAAATAAGAAAATGGAGAAAATAAACTACTAAAATTTACTAACCCCATTTGAAGTGCGAACAAAAGAAATGTTTGCTACGAATGTCTAGACTACGAATACAGTTAAAAAATTAAAATTATTTTGTGGTGTTGTTTTATTATTAGCCATCACTACTGTGCATAAAGTAGGAGTGAAAAATACGAATTAAATCATTCGATAAATATTTCGTAGCTTACTTGACGTAATGCTTCTGAATGTTCCCGGTGTTTATCTAATCGACCACAATACATATAACCAGCACATGGTTCATAACAACACTCACGACGGTTTCTGTTCCCACTTTCCTTGTGTCCTTTATGGTGACATAAATTGCATGTAGCGTCAATAGCTCGGATTCCTGGTAGTGCAAGTGTGGCTAAAGGTGGTGGCGGAGTCTTCAAATCTGTCAACTCACGTTCAAGTACAAACTTGCTTTGTGATAATATTTCTAACTGGTCCTCCAATTCTTTTTGTCTGTCAGACATAGTAGGAGCCTGTGACGGTTTTTGGCGTGGCGTTTCACTTTCAACATTGGGAGATGTTTCGTCTCTTTCGTAGTCCAATCGACGTCTCTTGCCAGTACTTGAATTAGAAGCCCCTAAATTACTGTGAGTCATGGCCGAAGATGACTTAACCGCCGGGGAAGTGCCGTCGACAACGTACAATTGTTCACGCATTGTACCACCTTTTAAGCGAATAGTGTCCACTATCACGTCACGGTATCATTCGTTTGGTGGTAAATCAACTCGTTGTCCATCTTCGTCCATGATTTGCAGACGAATAGCCTGCATTCGCCTTAAAAAAACAATCTGTTCACATAGATAGTCAACAAAATGTTGATATGACATGCACATAAACTCGTCTTCTTTAACATAGATGGGAACAATTCTGTCCTCCGTGTAATAAGTAAAATGTAGCTTGAAAAGATATTCAGCCATTGTCCAAAGAGCGTTGTAATCAGCAATGCTGGTCAGGATTCACACTGTTCACGCTAAAAAAACGACTCGGAAATGTCTTGCACAAACAACAAGCAGCCTATCGGCTGAGATAGCTCCGCTGTTAGAAATGCACATTTCAATTAAAGAACTGAAGACATCATTAGAAAATGAACAATATGTATAGTATCAAAGCAATCGGACTTACAGTTTTTAACAAGAAGTCGAAAATATCACTTTCTACCAAAAATGACCAAAATATTCACCAAAATTAGAGAATTGAAGATATCATCACGAAATGAACAAATCTGAGAAAGGTCTACATGTAGTATCTATATATATGTAATATCAAAGCAATTGAACTTTTGGTTTTTAACAAGAAGTCGAAAATATCACTTTTTACCAAATATGACAAAAATATTCACCAAAATTATAGAATCCAAGATAGCATCACGAAATGAACAAATCTGAGAAGGTCTACATGTAGTATCTAAATATGTA